CGCTCTTCCGATCTATCTGTATCTGTATCTGTATCTGTATCTGTATCTGTATCCGTATCTGTATCTGTATCTGTATCTGTATCTGTATCTGTATCTGTATCTGTATCTGTATCTGTATCTGTATCTGTATCTGTATCTGTATCTGTATCTGTATCTGTATCTGTATCTGTATCATTGTCTGTGTCTGTATCTATATCTTCTGTATCTGTATCTGTATCTATATCTTTCACTAGGCATATCATATACATATATGCCTATATATCGTCAGTATCGTCACTCTCAGTGTCTGCAAATTGAATTGTTTCTTTTGTGGTCTGTGCGAACCGGTTAGCCTGAGTAAGATCTTGGCATTAGAGACTCAACAATTACAACAATTACGACAATTACAACAATTACGGCAATGACGGCACCGGCAACAATGGCAACAACTAAGCAAAGTCTCGGCTGTTGTCTCATATTGCGCATACGCAGCGTTGCCGTTCGCTGCTCGCGTTTGTCTTTGGCGTTGACAAATTCCAGCGACTCTGCTTCAGTTCTCTACTGCGGCTCAGCGCTTCAGTTCTGCGCTTCAGTTCCGTGCTTCAGCTTGCAGTATGCAGTTTGTGTTTACAATTCTGGGCGTTCTTCGATCGCTGGTTTCTTCGCTGTACTTTTTCCGCTTTCTCATGCATTTTTCCAGTTATGCTTCAGCATTAACCCGGTAAGGTTCGCCTCGCATCGGTTTCAGCTCGCAATCGGTTCAGTGTTTTATTTTTTTATGATTATTATTATTTTCTTTTTTTTTTTTTATTTATTGTGTTGTTCATTTGTTGCTTATGCTGCAGTTGTTGTTGTTGTTGTTGTTGCCAACTAGCAAAGTGCTGGCCCTCAAAGTGTTAATTGGCAGGTGTTCGACGGCCGGCCGCCTTGGTACTAGACAGCCGGCTGCCCGTCAGCCAACTTGTTGATATTTGTATCTTAATACAGACACACACACACACACACACATACACTTATATAGTTATGCATATAAATCAAGAAAAACAATTGAATTCATTGAGACTACAGCTGCGTGTGGCAAGCGAATACAGAGAACACGTGCCTCTGCCCCCTCGCTGGCCGCCAACAGGCGCCAATAGTGGCTGCCCGCTTATCAGCCGCTGCTCAGGTGCATGCGAGAATCTCGTGATGCACCGACGCCCACCGGTCACGCCCCGCAATCGCACCTAATCAGCGCGCGAGCTACCGGCCGCTCATCAATGCATATTGATAAGCGACGCGACGATTGTGCAGCTGTTCTGCATTGTTATAGCAGCTGCAAATCAAGTACACGTCGCGCTGGCCAGCCTCAACTATATTCCATAGAGAAGATAGATTGGGAAACATGTATTTTGAAAAAAATATGCATTAATACCAGATGGAAAATCATATTACATATATGTATTAATTCAATATAAACAATCCTTTCATATTCATATATCGTACAACAGCTAAGAGAGAGAGAGAGAGAGAGAGAGAGAGAGAGAGAGAGAGAGAGAGAGAGAGAGCGCATTATCTAACTTGAGCGACTCTCGTTGCCCACTTTCTATGCAATTTCCCTTTAATTGATTGCGGCCTTTCAATGAATTTCTATTCCCAGCGAAGGTTGCCCAAGTGTGTATACCCTGAACCCATTAACGGCGCGACTTCAAGCTGTAATAGGTTTCTGAAAATGTGTGTAACAGGTGCAGGAAGCCTTGGTAAAAGCCTTGGTATAAACATTATATAGCCATGTCAATCTGCAGGCCTGTCCGTGTGGTTGTGTGTGTGTGTCTCCGTCCGTTTGAGCGCAGAGACTGGCCCATGTTAGAGACAGATCTTATAAATAGGCCATCTGAGTTGGTCTAACCATTTCAATCTATACGTCAGTCTAAGTACCTATCCGTCCGTATGGGTATAGAAGGAGGTGTGGTGGATTATATAGAGTTATTAATTCTTGATGTAGAGAACAGTGTTGATCTAGCCTTGTCCGTCCGTCTAAGTGCCTGTGCGTCCGCATGGCCGTAGCGATTTGTGCATATAAGGAAACGTTGAAGATTACATGGAGTACTGTTATTCTTGATAAGGCCAATGAGCTGGGTTGATCTTGTCATTTCCATCTGTATATCTGTCTGTCCGTCCGCTCGTCCATCTAAGGGTCTGTCTGTCCGTACGGCCACAGCAATGTACTTGTTTAATAGATATAAGGATGAGTGGTAGACTATATAGAGAACATTTACTCTTGATGAGGAGAACATTTTTGATCTAGATAAATCAGTCTGTATGTCAGTATATACATCCGTCTAAGTGCCTGTCCGTCAGTCTACATCTGAGTGTCTGTTCTTAAACGCAGATTATAATGTGAATCACATAAGAGACTTGAAGTTTTGACTGTATATTCCTGAAAATGCTGTACAGGCTTACAACTTGATTAATTATCGATAAAAATCGATCCATTAATTTCTGACACTGACACGCCGGGTTCGGGGTATCGCCCGTCAAGTACTGCCACCTAGAGCCCTCTGATTGGTTATGTTTTGCATTCGACTCTACTCGGTTTGATATTGAAGATAGATCAGACACACGAAATCGCTTATAATGTTTCATGCTCAATGTTTCTTTTTCTTAAAGTCTGGAATATAGTTATAAAATAATAAAAAGTAAAGCAAATTAGACAATTGATTGCCAGCGCTGGCACATGCTCTTGGACACTTTTCATATTGAGCTATATGCGAGAGAACAAAAAACAATCATAAATTTAAAAAACATATTCAATTGATATCAATAAAACGCGAACGTCACGTCACATCAGCCCAAACAAATCGAATTCGTAATCGAATTTCACATCAAAACTCATACAAAATGCGCGCCGTCTACGACTTGTTGCTGAGCAACGCATTCGATCCCAGGTATGCGTATAAGATATACTACATAAAAATTACATCACAGAGCCCGTATGGGCAATGGAGATCTATAATAGATCGAATCGGGGCGCCCCAAGGCTGCGTTGGTTCGTGAGGTCAAAGCTACGTTTCTAGATTAAGCGTGATTTGAAGTTAATTTATGGGATTAATGTATGGTTATAAGAATATATGCTTGACTTCGGGCTTACATATTATTTCTACAGTTACTTGATAAAGCAATCGATCTGTCGAATTCTATTGCATTGCAATTGAAAAGCATTTTGTAGATCTTTTAGATCTTTTAGTTTCATACTGGATGTGGTATCTTCATGAATGCCTGCAGTGAAACTAATTATTTAGTTATATTTGAAAATGAATTGCAAAAATATATTGTGATATTTATGCATGATGAAAATATAAATATATGTATGACTAATATTTAAATATTTATAGTAAATAATAGCAGTGTGGTCCAAAACTACTCACTTGGCTGTTATATTTCATTTTCAACGTATTCTTAAATGCTTCAAAAATAGTTTTACATGTGAATCGTCCCAGCTATATAGTTGGGATGCATAGTAGAAGATCGTCTTACAAGATTGACTACATTCGAAAGTGTTTGGCAAGAACAGAGCCTAACCATTAAAGGAATTTTATTACACTAATCCAAAGTAATAATATAATATATATAGCCTTAATCAGTACGGCAACTAGAGTCGATGAATCGAATACGAGTCCGAAAGCAAGGATCGCGTTAGCTACAGAGCTGAAATGCTGTTATATATTCAGCATATTTTTAACAACATCTCAGGCATATTATCAATAATACTATAATAAAATAATATTAAATATATGGACATGGAGCCTTCTAGTACCACGTCGAATTACTCTTCGGTTGTAGAAACCTAGGCGTACCTTTCTCAAAACTTATTTTATTATGTACGAACATCTAAAATATTCACATATTTTGGCTTAGTGCAATGTCCGTCTTGCTGTCCGCTTGTTATTGCAGCTAAAAGCTTGAAGTTTTGAATAAATACTCGAATTATAAAGGGTGTTCTGGTATCTCAGAAGAAGAAATTTGAAGTACATCCTCGGATCGACAACTCAAATCAATAAGATTTCTACAGGTTTAAAGCTGGAAGCTCAATCTGTTGCCATCCTCTACTGATCTGTATTTATATACCAGTTGAGGGCGTGGTAAATCATAAAATGATCCAGCCGGCGTGTTGCCGAGAATGAGTATTCTGCAGTCGGTAGTGCCCGACTGCAACATTTTTACTTGTTACTAATGCTGACCTCTACTAATCGATCTTCTCTCTCTCTCTCTCTCTCCTCTTTATCGCTCTCTTTTGATAGCATGGTGCTACAGAACCACAACATCGTGGTGGCTCGCTCCACTTTGACTCCGAACAACAGCAGCCAGAACTTTATCTCCCACTCCCACCAGGGCGGACAGCCAGGTGGCGGTGGCGGTGGCGGTGGCAGTGGCAGTGGTAGTGGCGGACGCTATCCAGTGAATGCCGGGCCAGGCAATCAGCGGCCCATCGTGGATCTGCTCGTGGCCATGGTGGCTGTGCCGGTGCTCATACTGTGTGCCCTGCAGCTGGAGAAGAATCTGCACGACATGCACAACAGTCCCGAGTCGCGTTGGCTGGTCTTCGCCCTGGGCATCGGGATGCTGGTCATCAGCGTCATCATCTGCGGCTATGTGACACATCGCATGGGCGTCTGCATCTGGGCCGGGCCCATCGACGAGGCCGGCAATCGCGCCGGCTCTGGCGCACTGCATCACGTAAGTCCATCGATGCCATAGACGACATTGTGCCCTATGCTTAGCCAAAATCCCTCTCGATTCCCAGATCAACTCACAGAACGATGTGCTACGCATTGTGGACTCGCTGCCGCCGAGCTACGAGAGCGTGGTCAAGTGCGAGCTGCCGCCGCCGGCCTACGACTGCGTTATGATCGATGTCGACCCGTGCAAGGATATGCAGCCGCAGACATCCAGCAAGGACGCACGCGCCGCTCAGGCATCCGGCTCCAATCCCGGCTCCGGCTGCGGCTCCGGTTCCGGTTCCATTTCCGTTTCCGTCAACATGCCAAACGCCACACTGCACATCTAAATCTGGAAGGGATGCAGCCAGCGATGGCGACGGCGGTGGCGGCGGCGACGGAGGAGAGAGAAACAAAGAGATTTTTCGCTTGTGGCATTGAATTTGTCCAGACTTGGGACTCGTACTTCACCTTTCTACTGCATTGGCGCCCCCTATCGGCCGCCTCTGGCTATTGGCTAAACATATGGCGTTGTATTTACTACAGTCTAAGATCTTAGAGTATTGTTATCCGTAGCGCATTCTCTGCACAGCTATATCTGTGCATGTAGGTACTATATATAGGTCCTATATATCTATATATATATAGAGTTAATTTTTTTTTTTTTTTAATTTTTTTTTTATGTTTTTAGTTTGCTTGGTCTGCGTGCAGCACTGTAAATATTCCTAAACAGCATCTAGTCCAAAGTTGTATATAATATAGACAAAAAAAAAAAAAAAAAAAAAAAAAAAAAAAAAAAAAAAAAACAAAGAAGAAGAAGGAAAACGAAGGAAAATGATATGAGCTAGTTCCATAGAGAAGTGCGCAGAATACGTTTTGTATTTATTAGTTGTTTAAATGCCAAGATTGTGAAACGTAAAACAGAGGGGGGGCAGAGGGAGCGGTAGGTAACACAGCAGTTGCCACATAGTTTATAGACTTACATATATACACACATATATATAGCTATATATATAGTTGATGAATTTATACGCATTACTTATCGAAAAGGTTAACGTTTCCGTTGCTTAAAAAAAAAGAATGAAAGAAAATGAAAAACAAAGAATTCCTATTATATCCATTATCTTTACAATACATTATCTATACAATCATATCGACTCGACTCGAGCTAAAGCTAAACAATTTTAAACAAAATGTGAAAAAATATATCAAATGCATTAATTAAAAAATGCGCTTATCAACAATATCTCGAATGTGACTTATTATTATTGTATCTTTTGCTTCATTTACACACCTGAAAAACCCGAGTAAGTACTACATGGAAATGCACTGGGCTCCGTAGTGTTCGTCGCGATTCTGAATGCCCCAGGTGAATGCACCTTCTCTCTAGATAAAAAGTGACGCAAATTTCAAACATTCTGTGTCTTACTTTTATACTATGTGTAGCTCAAGAGTTATGTATGCAAACTTTGGAATATTTGTCTCTTCATAGACCAAACATTCTCAGCCAGAAGGTAATCATGTTTACCGTACTCTTGGATACCCAAGTGTTTTTAGTGCTTGAGATAGGGTATTTTATGGTTTACTCAGCTGACTGAGATGCTGCAATTGTATAATACATTCTTATATAATAACATATCTCTATAATCTCTGGTCTTCCAATTGTTGGATGATCGTAAATTGCTGAACATTTCCGCGCAATCCATTTGAAGCCATCAGGAGACGGTCCTCAATACCATGATCATGCTTGATTACCTACATACATCTATGTACATAGTTCTCCACGCAAAGTTATAATGTATTCTGCTTTATTATGAAATGAGGTTCTTAAAATGGAGGACTCAATCTATTTAGTTTTTCCCCATTTACCATTTCTTTGCAAATATGTATTTCAATATAAAATATATTCTCCTAAATATTGAAAATTTCGGTCTTATATGTTGGTATTTTAGGGGCTGACATGATCATGCTAACATCTCATATAGCATGATCATGATCCATATGCTCTTAATATATTTATTAGGCGAGACTATACCGTATGTATAGAGCACTGACACCATTTAAGCAGTTTTTCCATAAGAGCTGGCTACAATCTGTCTCAATACAACTTGAAGTGGACACAATTAACATAATGAACATAACATAACTTAACATAAGATAACATAACATAACGTGCCACTTTGAATGGGATGACGATCACTGAAATTACAGTTTTCAGGAGAGTTAAGAAACTGAATCAAAGAACTCTGAGAGTTTTTCAGTTCCTCTTTTCCCCAACCGAATACAAAACCAACAAATTTCAATATCACTAAAATTTTGCAAACTGCATTTATTTCTTGTTGGTTGTAGTTGTTAAAGTAGCTCTCTAGTTGTTGTTGTTGTTTACTCACAATCGATTTTGAAACTTAGTTTTTGAGATTCAAATACAAGATGCCATGCACTTTGTTGTTGGACAAAACATGAAAGGAAATTTGTGTGGGTGTGTGTAGCTGTCTGTGTGTGTGTATTTGTTATTATCATATATAGACACATATATATTTATACAAATATAGATATATATGCGTATGTGTATACAGACATTCATATGTCAAACAATTTAACAAGATCGGACAAATTTGTTGTTGTTGTTGTTGCTGCAGTTGAAGCTGTTGCTGTTGTTGTTGTTGTCTTTGTCGCCAGTGCAACGCCGGAATATATAACGTAAGTGTCCATAATGACATACATGTGTATGCTTTTGCGTGTGTGTGGTTGTGTGTGTGCCAGTGTATTTGATACAGAGTAAGGACAAGCCGTTAGTCCTGGGGCTGGGGGTGTGGCTGTAAGGCAGCTTGCAAATCGTGAAAGCCGAACGCGTATACAATATATATATATATGTATATATATAGGAGATATACATATGTCAAACTTTTAATATATATATTTACATACATACATATATGTATTTTGTTAATATATCTATATTTTTGGAGCTAACTGATCCTAGGGAAACCATCCCACACTAACTCAAACAATCCCCTCTCATGCAACACGCCTTGAACATTGATCGAAGCGACCTAAGCAGAGACTGACCGTAGATTATATAGATACAGTTTACACATATTTTTCTTCGTCTTTAACTATAGATTACAGATGACAGGTTCTATGTACAAGAATCAAGAGGCCGTGTTGGCGTGGGAAGAACAGAAAGTGACCAACAAATGAACGCAATGAGCAACTAGCAAAATGAACGAGTACAATTCACGTCTTATTTTTTTTCTTCCGTTTCGTTTAGAAGCAGGTTTTAGTAAATTAAATCATTCTTCATTATTATTTTTTTTTTTTT